CGCAGGGACTGACAGAAAAGATTATTCCAGGCTTTGTTTCAAAACTCCTTGGGAAAAGAGAAGAAATTGTTATAAGTTGCACATCCTGCATGATTGAGCTATAGAGCAAATAATGTATTTACCCAGAGGCCTCAGATACATCATAACCTTGGCACTTTCAGCCCAGAAGAGAGAACCTCCCTTGCATCCTAGAGCTGCCTGATAGTGCAGAGGGCAGGATTGACAATGATGGGAAAGAAGTACATCTGCCTGGCCTCAGAGTGAGAGAGAACTGGATTTGCCTCTATGCTCTGTGCCTGAGGGCTGATCACCTATCCTTTCCAAGCCTGTCTTCTCACTTTTAAGGTCCAAATAAAGGTTAAATGCTCTCAATTGTACAGGCATGGTGTCCATAACCTGTAGTCCCAACTACTCAGAAAGCTCAGGCAAGAGGATCACTTGAACCCAGGGCGTCAAGACCAGCCTAGGCAACATAGTCAAAAAATAAATAAATATAATTTTAAGTAAGTAAGTGTTTCACAAGATAAAAGAGAGTTAAATAAAATAAAACACATGAAAGGTTCTAATACAAAATAGACATGCAATAATATTATAAACATGAAGTTTGACCCTAATTTTACACAGCTTGGAAAACAGATATTTTTCAGCTATCACCCTGTTTGTAGATGAACTTGTAAATATCCTCAACACATTGGGATTTGATGAGTAATTCATAAATATTGTCAAGTTGTTGGGGTGGAAACAGCGATAGATCAAAAGAAGCAAGCACCATGAATATTTCATAAAGAAGATAACTCCCTGTGAAAAAAGCTGTTTCAATTGTGTAAAGTTTTTTTTAACTTTGGTTTGCTCGTTAATGTAATAGAAATGTTAGAAGTAGAGCTTTTTTCATGTCTCTTTTTAAATCATACTTTACTGAACACAGATCATGCATCTAGTCACAGAAATGGTACTGATCTGTTTCAAAGGCTTTTAAGTCTGGCCAAGTGGTCATTGATGTGTTCAACAGATACTAATCCAGTGATAATGATGGACTAGCTAGGAACTAAAATTAAGCATCAAAGAGAGTCCCAAAAACAGGAAATACACATGGGAGAGACACAAACAGATGAACACAATGTGATAAGTGATATGAGAATGTAGGCAGGAGGCCCAGAGAGGAGGGACTTATCTGGGGAGAACTTCCAAGAGGCAATAACACTTAATGGCAATCTTAGCAAATAAGCAAGAGTTGGACAGGAAAAGAAAGGGAGAGAAGTCCAGGCAAAGGGGATGGCTATGAAAGGTCACTGAAGCAGAAGAGACCAGGGCACACTCTTTAAAACTAAAATAGTAAGAAATACTTAGAAACAAGACCTGAGGTGGGGCGTGTGGAACAGGCAAACAAAAGAGGCCAATGAAATGTGGATCAGCTAAGAAGGGTCTTTTGTGCCCTCCCTCCAATTTTTTAAGCATCCCAAAAGTGGGAAAGTGATCAAATACATCTAGGAGAATGATAGAATCAGAAGTAAAGGGAACAGAACCAGTTAACCTTATTTTGCCACAAATCACTTTCTGGACTGTTCTAGGTATTCAGAACCAGATTCTGGATAGTAACAGATATCTGCCTGTTGAGGAAGACCCTGGGAACACCATATAGGAACAGCATAGCACATACACCAAAATTGTCCTGGAGACACTGTGAATGGTGGAAATAATTGTGTTTTAGTGACTCAAAAAGTTTAATGAAGTGACAAGGAAATAAAGTAATAAAAAATGGAGCATCTCCTTGAGATGCCTTCTAGTCTGGGAGCCCCAGATGAGAGAACAATATTACTACCATATTACAACCATTTGCACCCCCCTAGCCTGGGCCAATGGAGGAAAGATGGAAATGTGATTTATACTAAAGTACCTTGGAGTTCTTCTCTTAGAGCCATGGATTGAGACATGAATTGCCTGAATAATTTTACACTTTATGGAGACAATTATACTGTATTTCCACAGAGTAGAGTTGGGAGCCTCTACAAGTTAGGACTACAGAAATGGATAAAGCACTGTTGTTGCTGTTGCTGTTTGAGACAGGGTCTCACTATGTAGCTCAGGCTGGCCTTGGACTGGGGATCTTCCTGTCTCAGCCTCCAGAGTGCTGGGATTGCAGCTGTGGTACATCGTCATACCCGTCTCGTGTATTTATTTCAATGTAAGAGAACAGTTAGATAGAAATAAAAATGGGGTGCTCCAAAGGATATCTAATGTAGTGTGATTTTAGAGAACATTGGGAAAAGAATGTAAACAAGTACAGTAAGACACCTATTTTTTGTTTTAGTTCAATTGGCTGGTTAGCATTGTAATGTGGACAGCTCAAGTCCAGTATGTGCTGGGATCTTAGCAACCCAGGACTTAAATAGATGAAAGCATCATGTGGAAGACAAGTGCTCAGCGGGTGAAGTGAAAACTAGGAATAACTGGTCTGGCTGAGAATGAGAACCAGGCAGTAGAAGGCCCAGTGTCTAAGTTCTGTGGAAACATGGACATAGTTTGAGGTCCCTTCCAGTGAGTGAGGCATGCAGGTGAGGGATCCCAGAAGTAGTCAGACTTGGAAGTAAGACAGATGTGGCCATCTTGAATCTTCTTTTATATAGCATAGCTACTACCAGTGGTTGGAGAGGTGCTCTGTGTTTCAGATTTCCTGATTGTCATGGTCTCTGATCTTTGCTGTTCCTTCTGCCCGGAATCTCCTTCAACAGCATCCTAACTTTCTCTTGCCAAATGACTTACTGCATTATAAGTGTCTACTGAGATATCTGTTTCCTTCTACCAAATCATAAGGAGGGGTTTGACTATCTGATTATCCATTTTATACACAGGGTCTAGTGCAATGCCCAATACACAGCAATTTCACAATAATTCTTATTGGATGAATGAAAGGGAGTAAATGAATGAAATGAAATGATAAGCAAAGAGAAATGGAGATTACAATTGTTACCTTAATCTAACTAGGCAATATGTTAGAATACTAAAGAATTTGAGTATAAAACTTAAAACATAATAAAATGGCTTGGAGACCTGTAATAAATCAGTCCCCAACAAAAAACTAATATGATTCTGTTGTCATTGTAGCTCCCCCACTTACATCTGGTTAGTGAGGTCTCTAACGGTTCCCACATCTGCTAGATGGCATGGTGTACAGAAGGTGCCTCACATAAGGCTCACATGAGGTAGAATCATGAGTGGAACCTGTTATAAATGTGGGCACGAGGACTCAGGCTTCAGGGAAAGACCAGAGAGTTCAATGTGAGAAGGGATTGTTATGTCGTCTTTGTGTCCCTTTGCCTCCCCACTGCCACTCATATACCTTCTCAAACATATGTAAACATCACTAGATTCTCTGAGGTTTTCTTCAAGGCAAAGAAAGACTGCTAGCCATCCACCAAGGGCCCTGGGGCCACAGGCCTCCGCATGGGTGTGGTACATACTAATCAGTAGCAACTGCATATCCACATGAGTAGTCTAACTCCACAATTAGAGACAGGACATGGACTGCTACTTCCCAAATTTTGCTAGGAATCTTTTTAACTATATTAGACTTCTTAATGCTAGAATCACATTAGAATTACCTGGAATTCTTCAAAAAAACAAAAAAAGCTAACTCTCGGGTTTACCCCCAGACCCATTAAATTAGAAACTTTCAGGTCCTTCCTATTATGGCTTATACTCTCTCTACAACAAAATTAGAAATAAGGGCAAAATAGTTTCTGCTGGGTATGGAGGGGGTGGGGGGGAGAGGGAGGGGGCGGAGTGGGTGGTAAGGGAGGGGTGGGGGCAGGGGGGAGAAATGACCCAAGCTTTGTATGCACATATGAATAATAAAATAATAAAAAAAGAAAAAAGAAAAAAAGAAACTTTCAGGTATGGGGCTCAAGCTTGGGCATTTGCCCAAAGGTCCCCAGGTGGTTCTAACGTTCTCATGTAAGTCTAACGATCTGTGGAGCTGCAGTCTGGCATCACTGAGCAGCTCATCTAAAACGTAGGGTCTCGAGACCCACCCCAATCTGTATCTGGATCGAAACTGAATCAGAATCTGCATTTAAACAAGACCTCGGGGAGATTTATCAGTGACTCTTAGCACTGGCTACACAATGTCATCATTAGAAGACTTTTTTTTTTTTAATGCAGATGCTTGGGCCCTACCCTTGAGATTTTTATTTAATTGGTATGAGGAGGACCCCGCATCTAAATCTTGAAAAATCTCCCCTGGATTTATTGTCTTTGTTTGAGTACAGGCAGAGGAGAACCACATGCTATGTAAGCAATGCCTCAGTGAGTGGTCAAATTCTCATCAAGGAAGGGTGGAGGGTGCTGTGAAAGCTGAGGCTTTAACCATATTCCCCTTTCTCCATGGTCACTTCAGAATTGGCCCAAATAATAGATGCGGTAATCTAACCTGGATGTCTAGCAACACACTTAAGAAATGTCTACTTCCTGTGTCTCTTTTATAAATGTGTATGTACATTATATTTTTCTTTTTTTCTCCTTTTATAACTGTTGTTATTGACTAGCTCTATTTGCATTAGGATAATAACTGAACTGTAATATTTTACTCTTAGGGACATGACTCACGTTCTAGTTTTACTCCATGGTAAATAATTCTATATATTTATATTAAAGGAAACATGGAGATACTATAGGGTAGAATATATATTTCTTGTGACTTCGATGGTTAAAACACAAGGCTTCAAAGAAATTTTGTCTTTTAGTGGGCACTACAGGGTCTGGCCCAGACCTCCTAGTGGAATGAAATTGTTCTCCCTCTACCCTTGGAATTCCTTAAGGGAAAATTCTGAACCAATGGAATTATTTGAAACATGACACTCTTACTTGATTTTGTTTCAAATCCTCAGCAGTTGGAGCATCTTGGCTTATCTCAAATGCTAGAAATACTGTGGCATTTGTCACTTCAAACCCAGCCAAGGGTCAAATGCTAAACCACACATAGAAGCTAAAATAAATTCTAAAAGTTGTTTTTGTGGATGATTTAACTTTATTCACATGAGAGCTGGAGGAACTAACAAAGACTTCCTCTAACATTTCTGGTGGGTTGAATTAGAGTTTGGTTACAGACAGTGTGGGTGGGGGGGATGTATGGTGAGACAAATCAGGGGCTTATGATTCCACATCATCATGAATCCAGTTTAATTTTAACCTTGTCGCTTGTCTAACACATTTGCAGAAGAGTTGGTGAATAAATCTAATGCTCACTGGCAGACACTTGGCAGCCTGTGAGAGCAGCATCTTTAGAGAACACACAACCAATCCTAACACTGGGGTATGTCAGGCATTGCGAGTGCAGGTATGAGGTGCTGGGGGTGCCAAGCATGGCATCCATGATGATGACAGTCGTGGGCTTTCGGGGCAGGCACTGCAGCTTCAGAGCATCTCAGGCAATCCCAGGACCACATCATGGCCTCTCAATACTGATAGGACCTCACAAGAAGCCACATGAGAAGAACTGTAATCAGGACAACGGTGAAGTTGAGAAACAGCTCCTGGGTGGACCGTTCCATCCTCAAAAAGGCTGGGTGAGAACTTCAGGTAGATGTCTGAGGGACAGCAAAGACCTCCGGCTTATCCTCACCTCCTAACAGAAAGCAACAAGGAAGACACAGGGAGGTGAATGAGTGTTCCTATAAAACGATGTTCGTCCTTCTGCATAGGAAACAGAAGTATTGTGGAAAAGAAGATTATTGAAGGCTGAATCTGTCACCCCTCCAAATTCAGATGTTGAAGCCTTAATCCCCAGTAGCTAAGAAGGTGACTGTGTTTGGACATAGGGTCTATCAAGAGGCAATTAAGGATACACTGGCCACACCTGGAATCCCAGTTACTCAGGAGGTGGTAACCAAGAGGATCTCAGTTTGAGGCTAGCCCCTGGCAAGAAGAATGAGACCCTATTTGAAAAAAATAAAGTAAAAAGGGCTGGAGGTGTGGCTCAAGTGGTAGAACACTTGCCTAGCAATCACAAAGTCCTGAGTTCAACCCCAACACTAATAAATAAATAAATAAGGTCTGTAAGGTAGGCCTTAATCCAATATGAATGGTGTCCTTATAAGAAGAGGGGATTAGGACATGGTCACATTTCCTAATGTGAAAACACAGGGAAATGATGGCCATTCTTGGCCAAGGAGACAGGCCTCAGAAGAAACCAATCTTGCTAATACCTTGGTGTCCAACATCTGGCCTCAAACACCTGTCTTTGCACTAGATCTTCCCCTCTTCATTGGGTCTATGGTCTGCCAGTTTACCCTGGAGACTTTGAATTTATCAACCTCCACAATCACAGGAGCCAATTACACACACACACACTGTATTGGTTGTATTTCTCTGAAGAATTTGGATTAATACAGAGGGCCCGGCTTCTCTGCCTGATAAAGACCAACATTTTTTAATCCTAATTTTTTTTCCTGTGATGATTGTCTTGATGCTTTTGATGAAATATAAAACACAGCATTTTTCTCTCTCTAACTTCTGTCTATAGGCATATGTTCATTTGCTAACTTAGAGTATCAGTAAGGGCACCAAAAGAGAAAAATGTTATAACTTAGTGTTGTTCTTGCTTTGAATTGCACTTAGGAGTAGGATAGCATAATCCTTCAGATTTCAGGCTCTTAAAGATCTTCATCCAACTCTGATAAAAGTACAAAGTAGTTCCAACAGCTGCACAGCTTCTCACAAGGCTGCGTTGGGCACAGAGCCTACAGGGGTCAACCAAAAGTCCCTCGCATAACAGGTACTCAGTACAAAGAGCAAGTGTTAACCTCATGGGTGTTTCTATTTCAACAAGGGCTGTGCCAGCTATTTTTAGTCAAGCCCAGGATGTGCCTAGATTGTAAACATTTCAAAGAGCAGGGATGCTATCTTCAGAGTGTGTACACGTTGTACATACAAGCAATCATATTTCAAGAACATATGCAATGAAGTCAATCAACTTTTTACCTTCAGTGCTATAGTATAACTAGTGCTTTGTTTGTATACTCTAAATAACATTAAAGACTATATTTTTGATAGTTTTAAGTAGAGACTTATATTTTAGATATGTAGGATAAAATTCAACTATTGAATGAAAAAGCTGAGGTGAGGAGGGTGGGTTTTTTGTTTGCTAAGGGTGAGAGTTTGGTGGCAGCAAGGTTTTGGTCTGAATGATATTTTTAGCCACCTAGTCTGACGGGACTATTAACTGTTAATCACTGCATTTATTGTAACCATCTACGGACTGAATTATTAATTATTTAAATTCTAGATAAATAATCTGTTGTTATTATGTAATTGTTAGTATAACATTCAAGTTCCATCCAAGTGGTACCAACCAGTAGATTGTTGAATCTTTGTTCAAAACATGGTCAATAATGATGGATTTATGTTTCATTTCCCTTTTAATTCTTAATCCTCTTTTGGTCCTCAACATGAGGAAATAGTTAATTGCCAGTGAAAATCTTTCCAAAGGTCTGCTTGGAGGGGAAAGTAAATAGAAGAAAATTAATAGGTAAAAGAAGAAGAGAGAATATGCAAAAATGCACACAGGAGAAGAAGGGAATGAATTATACCAAGGAGCCTGGAGGCAAAGGAATGAGGATCAAAGTCAGACTCTTCCTATGAACTCATTAATGAAATCATACCCTGATCCAAATGCTCACTTCTTGAGTAAATTCTCAAGAAATGCAGAAATATGCAGAAAAAAAATGAAAGCCTGTAATGATCAAAACAACTCAGTTCAGGATGAGCAAATTAACTGCCCCACTAAATCTGTTTATTAGATTAAGTTGTTAAACAAAAGCAATCATGGATCATCATCTAACAGGAATATTATTGGAAAGCCAGGGAAGTGCTGGTGGAAACCGCTTCAAGCTTTGTTCATGTTGCCTTCACAACTCAGGCAAAGCTTACTGTGGTTTTTGTCTTTCCCAAAATTACAAGTGAGAAACTGACTTTTAGAGAGAGGTTATGTTGTTTGTGTAATGACACTTAAGAAGTTAGAGGCAGAGCTAAAAGTGAAAGACTAGAACCAGTTACCAGAATTGTGGTCGTTCCCTCATAGGAATATTATAAGAATGGTTTTAACTGCAATTAACTGCTCTAGCTAGACAAAGTGTGAATTTTTAACCACTTGGAAAACAACTTGGCATTGTTTTAGATTAAGGAAGAAAATACCTTTCCCTAATCTCTAGTATTTTCACTTCTACTTTAGATGCTTGAGTACAGTTGATCCTATTCCTATACAAGGGTGTTCACAGCCACATTTGCATAAGAACCCCAAAGTGTAATCAGAACTAACATTCATCAATAGTAGAAAGGATGCTGAATTGTGGTGTGTGTGTACATTTAAATGCTATAGAGCAAAGAAAATCTATGAACCACTATCTCTACACACCACAAGATGGATGGATCTCACAAATGATAAAAAGATAATTATACATATATTTCCTTATAATTATTGTTTAAACTTCATATTTTATGCACTCTACATCTTTTCAGTCTTCTCTGAACCGACAGGCTACCCCCATCACACTTCTTTCCTATTACTGATCTCTTAATGTTTCTTGCACTTTAATAGTGACCTTAAATATTTGTTGTATTATGTATTTCAAATGAATAAGATATAAACAATTTAGGTGAGAATTTCCAATGAACCCCATTCAACCTACGCATATAACCTATGAAAACTGTAAGGTGCAGACTTTGTTTTTACACCCTTTAGGAAGAATGAACCAAAGTTAGGTAGAAATTCAGATCAGCAATGCTCCATTTTTCTGCTGTTAACCCACAAAACAGTTTTGGCTCCATTTTAAGCCTTTGCTAGAGTCAAGTTCATGCCATATGATCAAAGTGACTACCATATGGATAAACTGAAAGACAAAAAGCTACAAAATAATTGGCTTTCTTGGCTTAGAGACTTTGAGAAGATAGAAAATAGACTGTCTAGGATATGAAAAAAATGTAAAAATAGGAAGGAAATGCATACCAAAGAAAAACAGGAATCAATATTCACTTTACATCTTAAGAAATACCACATATAAAGATCATTATCTACTTCATAAAGAAATGCAAGCAATCCTCTGTCTTTCTCATTTGCAACCTGTGTACTCACACACACACACACATGTTATGCAGAATATAAAATCTTGCTGTTACCTGAAGAGGGTCAAGGACATACCCTGTCTTTCTCCTCGTTCTCTCTAACTCAGGCTCCAACTCCTCCTGTCTTCCAGGCTGCCTGGACTCCTGGACTCTGAGCAGGACCTAAAGTAGTCTGAGGGAGGTGGCAATCACTGTGATGTCACTGATGAAACATCTCAAAGGAACAATCTCTGAAGGTTTGAGCCTATTTGTGTTCAGGAGGACATGGAAATGTGGTGATTAAGGCTTTGTTCCTTTGGCTGCCAATTTGTCTGAACACCACAGGGACTTAAAAACCTTCTGTTTCTAGTTGGCTTTCAGTACAATTGATATGGATTCTAAATTTATTCTTTACATCCTTATGAATATCTCTAACATGTCTTTAAGACATCACAAACCCAGAGTGATAGACTAATTTTACAAATCAATACTGCATTTGGCTGCTCTCCCTACTCGACATGTGAAGGTGTAAAGATGTGACTTCATTTTTACCACCCATATCTTTAGCTATTTGAAATGGGAAGACTTCTCTGCCTTGAATCCACATGTATATACACCCACACACCCCACATTCCGAATTCCATAGGCACTCCTTCAAAACTGACTTTAGTCTAAGCAGTGAACATTCCCGCCCCGCCCCCAATCACCTGCTACACATAACTTTCCAGAGGAGCTGTGTGTTGCAAGTTTACACATTCATCTGCAGGTTCTTCTGAAACAGCTGAGGAACCCATGGCTTGTATGTCCCTGTTGGTAAACTAACATAGCAATGAGCTCAAAGCTATAAGCAATAAACTCATCTGGATTAGAGTTTGGAGAACTGGTCAAAATTAATGAATATATGAGTTATAGGCCATATCAAGATATCTTAAATATATCTGAAAGGAATAAAATTATGTGATTTTCAAATATAACCACTGGCTAAAACCAGACTAAGATGTGTTTGGAATGAGCAAATAAGATGTTTGAAGGTAAAGGGAGCCTCTGAAGTATTTAATTAACATGACCCTAGTAATGGTGATGCTCAGCAAATCCTTTCTCTATTGATACTAGAATAAATTTTCCCTTTGAATTCCCAATTAGGGCCAATCAAAATAATGCACTCCAGAAAGCATAAACCAACAAAATTCTCTGTATAGTTGTGTGCATAGTCAAACCTTTCCCACCATTCCACATACCCCAGAGGCACTACTAAAAGAAGGACTTTCCATTCTTTCATTTCAACAGAAGCCAAGGCGGGTAATCTTAATACAACATTCTGTCACCACTTGTCTGGTAAAAAGATAGCTTGCTGAAGTGACAGATCGTCTATATTAATTATAGCACAATCGAACATTGGCAGTTACTTGTTACCATCTGGCAAACTCTCTGACTGTAGTCAGATTTCTCTTCTGCCTCCAAGCCCTTACCACATTGTTTGAAATACTGGGAATGTTTTCCTAGTCACTTTTTAACCACTCAAGATTATTTTTTGTCCAATTAAAATACAACATATTTTATTGTAGCATATTTGAAAATATACAAATGTATAAAAATGCTAAATTCCTACTAATCTCACCAACCCAAGAATAGGTAAACCTTTATTTATGTAGAAAAAATCTCAAATTCCCAAGACATTTTTGATAAAGGAATTTGATACCAGAAAAAAAAAACTTTCCCTTTTTGATTCATTTAGAATCAAATTATTCATACTACACCATGTGTGGTTTGGGATTTACAGGAAAGGCATTGAGTTTGTACATGTAGAAATATTAATTAGCTTTACAATATTTAAAATGTAAGACAGTGGGAGGTGTTAACATGTCATCAAAATAGGTGGCCAATACTTGTCAATTTAATTGAATTGACAGTACCAATTTTAATGTAATTTGCAAGAAAAATCCTACTTTTTTTTTTTTTTTACTGATTTGATGACAGCTCAGTTTGTCCATCCAGTTGTCTCACTTAAGTGTATCTATTATTGTCCCAGGGATTACAGTGAGTGAGCAGGCTTCAGAATTTTTTACATATCGTTTCTTCTGTGATGTCTGGAAGAGAAAGATTACAGTAAGAATTTAGCTTGTCACTAGTTTGACCTAACTCTCTCCAGAAAAATATGAAAGTCACTCCAAATCACCTGAGAACTATTCAAAGGGGAGTTTACCTATGAGGATACGCAGATCCATTTTTAAAAGATGAACATTTTAACCTGTCATTATAACAAAGCTTCAAACCTCAGTACCAAGTCAAATTCATCCCTCACCCATGAACCTTATTTCATGATGGTGAAACTTCCCCCACTGTGAGCAGTTCCCATGACTTAGCAGCATTCCTTCCATATCAACTTTCTTTCAAGGCCTGTTTCTGTCCATCAGCAGGATGACACACTAAATAATCTATGACTACTAATCTACAACTTAGCCAAGGACCAAAAATGTGAAGAAAATGGTATTTTACATTGACAGAGGCACTGAAGCTGTAATTGGCATTTATCATCCACCACCATATTCATTTTTCAGATGTAAAATATATATACCCTTTGAGCTGGATGCCAGTATCTTCAAGTTACTTGGGAAAATGAGATTGGTAGGATTATGGTTCACAACCACCTTAGGCAAATAGTTCATGAGACCCCCATCTCCAAAATAACCAGAGGAAAATGGACTAGAGGTGTGCCTCAAGTGGTAGACTGCCTTCCTGCTTTCAAGCATGAAGCCCTGAGTTCAAATCTCAATATATATATATATATATATACACACACACACACACACACACAATATATACATACATATATATATATATATATGATGTGTATGTATACGTATACACCCCACTGGTCTCTTGTCCCTAATTAGTTGCTAAACTAGCTTAATTATTCCCCACTTCCATCCACCTTTGTTTTTTACTTCGAGAACTAAAATATGAGGACCTATATCAACCCCTAAATTCTACAAGACTATGGCACAATTGGAAAATTCACCACTGCCCGAGTGAAAGGTGATAAGCTCTTTGCACATTGCACATGAGCACCATCAGCATGGTTCCTTTCTTGCCTTCATATCTTTACATCCAGCTGGTCCTGGAGCTGCTGAGCAGGAAGCAGCTTTCTGCTATTTCTCTCCCTGGCACAAGTGCATGAGGACAAGCCCAGAGAAAAAGGAAACCCGATTTTTTAAAGCTCTCTCCGTGTATCTGTTGCCACAATACTGGGTGAGCCCTGCCCCTCTGGGCACATGGAAGCCCAAGAAAAGGTCATGAAGAGGTTTGAGTGACCCTGGTAGGGTCTGCACAAAAGTGCCAATGCAAACACTCTGTCTAAGCTGCTTGGGGGAAACTGCCATTGTAAAGGACTGTAGTAAAGTGGAAAGCACTGGCACCTGGAGTGACAAAAACCTGTGTCCATATTCTGAAACTTCTACTTACTAAGTAACACTAAGAAAATTACCCTTCCTGGGTATTAGTTTCCCTAACTCTAGCATGGGAATTCTAAGCTCTTAAGATTTGCATGCAATCAGAGTCTAACTGTAGCATTAAACTCAAATCATTGTTCCCTCCACTGCTGAGACTGGATGCTATACCAACTTGTATAAAACCGAGCCCAGAGCCCGCCTGGCCTATAAGTTAAACCATGCTGGCTCTTTTCTATTTCTTTCACAATAATTAAAATAAGTAGATAAATGTCAAGGAACTCCTTTCTCTAGCACTAATGCAAAACTTCTCTTTTCATTTATGACCAGGGGAGAATAGAACGAATGTCACTTAGCGTAAAAATCCTATAAAACAAGCATAAGAGATGGTTGCGTATGGAAGTTGTAGCAAATATGGCTTCCCTGACTTTTTCCTCTCTTGCCACTACAGAGCAGAGTGTACTGTAAAAGGCCAAAGTCACTACCTCTACCATAACTCCATGAGAATGTTAAAATGTATCAAGGGAACACTATTCCATACAAAACATTATTCTAGGCATATGAGAAATCATCATGACAAACAACAGACATCATAATGACACACTGCCTCTAAAAGAAGGCAGTCCAGGAAAGTGTACACCACTCATAATAGCCAAGTTATAGAACCAATCCAAGTGTCCAACAGATGAGTGGATAAAGAAAATATGGTACATATACACAATGGAATACTATTTGCCTTAAAAAAAGAAGAAAAAGGAAATCCTGTCACTTGTGACAACATGGATGGAACTGGAGGACATTCTGCTAGGTCAAATAATCCAGGCACTGAAAGACAAGTACTGTGTGTTCTCACTCCTATGTGGCATCCAAAACAACTGAACTCATAGAAACAGAGAGTAGGATGGTGACTACAGAGGCTTCAGGGTAGAGGAGACAGGAAGATGATGGTAAAAGGATACAGGAGGAATAAATGCTGTTGTTGCTGTGATTTGAGAGCTATTTCATGGCATAGTGAATATAGTAATAATAGTGTGTTATACATTTCAAAATTATGAAGAGAGTATGTTTCAATTGTTCCTAACAAAAAAATAAGTATTTCAGTAATGGATATGTTAATATGTTATATTCATAAGTCATACATTATTTTGTACCCTTTAGATACATACAACTATAAATTGTCAGTATAATAAAATTTTAAAAAATTAAAAAAGAGAAGTGCACAATCAGGATAAAAGAGTGTAGAAGAAATGGTATCAGAGTGACATCAGAAAGACTATAGAACTGTAGGACTGAAATGCTAAGAAAGCAGAGAAACTGCCTAAAAAGAGTAAAAAGAGATGCTAAAATGAAACACTCATGGGCAACCAACCAGAAGACTGGAGCCTCAAGAATGAGAAAAAGTTACTCAGAACTAAAATAGCCACAAATGATAATAACCACACAACATCAGCTAGCAGTTACCAAATATACATAACTGCATCTAATCCTAAAACAACCCTGTGAGGTAGGTACAGCAGTCCTATTTCACAGAGGAGAAAACTCAGACCCAGAGAGACTGTGCCTGACCAAGTTCAAAGACTTAGGAAATGGCAGAGCTGAGATTAATAGCCACAGCTTTGAATGCAGTCCTGGGCTCCTAGCCACTCCACAAGAGTGCATTCTGTAAGTGATGAACATACCCTCTAGCCTGGAGTCATACCCCTTTTCATTGCACACTTTATTAATAAAAAATTTCACCATGATCACCAACAGAAAATACATG